ATGGAAGGGGACTGACCTTAGACGAGGCTTAGCCCAGCTTCCCTCCCCACATTTTACAGATTAGGACTTGAGACCAAGTCATCTTCCCACATCCCCGGTCTTTACAGGAGAGAGGCAGGAAATTGGGTTCAGATGAGAATGTAGAAAGGTGGGATCCAGCGATGCCCTGGGCCTGAGCCCCCAGGAGAGGAGGCTGCAGGAAGAGGGGGCAGGCAAAGCCTGTGTGCAGGAGGCTCCCTTGCCATTCCCAGGAGGGCAAGCCACAGCCTGGGTGGCTGGGGAGTTTGAGAACAGGAAGATCTGAGGATGTAGATCCCTGCACTTTGCTTTAAATTGACCAGCTGGAAGTGGGAGATTCAGGAGACCCCCCACCGGGCCCAGGCTGGAGATGACAAGGACCTGCATTAAGCTGTAAGGAAACAAAGTGCCCCAAGGTGCAGGGGGAGGTGGGAGAGGGACAGAGGAACATAGGGGACATTGGCAAGGAGAGCATATTTGAGGAGGAAGTTGGAGTGCTGTTTGTGATGTTGGACAGAAAGGCTTATAACAGAAGCTTGTGTGTTCCCCCAAACTTCATCCCTGACTACTTGGTCCAGCTCTTCTGTGACTCCTGAACTATGCCTCTAGCCTTGTCACCCCAAGGCTCATAAATGTTTCCTCAGAATCCCTGGGGTTTTCAGCAGAAGTCCTGAAGTAGTCCAGCTGTTGCTCATCTCATTTTTGGGGGTTACCTCCCACTGTTTGGTTTTATTGAATGTTCTGGTTTTGCTTTTGTCTTTACCTGGTCTGGCCCTGTCATCCCCAGCCCCGAGAAAAGGTCTTCAGAACCCTTGAGAAGGCAGGGCTGGCCCAGGACCCTCACAGCTCCCAGTGAGGTCTGAGCCTGGTACCTGGGTCAGCAGCCCACGTGGGGCCCCAGCCAAGCTGCTCACTCTGGTGCTGTCTCCCTGTTGTGTCTCCCACCGCCTTCCCTGCTGCGCCTGCCCCTCCCTGCCCCGCCCCGGAGTCATGCCCTCTAGCCCCCCGCTGGCGGCTGCCTCCTCCATGTCCCTCCCGGCCGCCGCCCCCACCACCAGCGTCTTCTCCTTCTCGCCTGTCAACATGATCTCCGCCGTCAAACAGAGGAGCGCCTTCGCCCCCGTGCTGCGCCCCCCGAGCTCCCCACCCCAGGCCTGCCCCAGAGCCCACAGAGAGGGGCTTCCAGGTGAGTGATCCACCCTCCCTCACTGTGGCAGGAAGGAGGGGCCCTTGTGGAGCAGCTGGGCAAGAGGGGCCCACTCCATCTACATCTCACCAGTGCCTCATGCTGGCTGACCAGCTCTTCTTGGAGGACGGAGAGCAGGGAGCTCTGCTGGGGTCCAGGGAGGTCCCTCTGGTCCCCACTCCCCTGGCCTCCCAGCCTGGGATGGTCGCCACTCTGGATGCTCTCAGTTGACCACTTGGCCAAGGGAAAGAGACTCAAATCACAATTGATGAGGTCTAGAAATTACCCCAACACCCCATCCCCATCCAGCTGAGCCCAGAGCAAAGACCCCCGGAGCTGGTGGGCTGCACGCCTGTACCTGTGCCTCCCTGTGTCCACCAGAGGGTAGCACACACCACTGTGAGGCACTGGGTCGCTGACAATGGAAGGGGACTGACCTTAGACGAGGCTTAGCCCAGCTTCCCTCCCCACATTTTACAGATTAGGACTTGAGACCAAGTCATCTTCCCACATCCCATTCCTGAAATGGCTGTTCCCTCACTTTACTCACGTGCAGCAGAACCTTTGAACCAGTAGAACCTTTCCTATCCAAGTGATGATTGGAAACTCACTGGAAGGACAGAGGAAGGGACTGGCTGTGGAAAAGGAGGAGGCAACGGGATGTGGGTGGGGCGGAACAGGTCTTTGTGTATGGGGATAGTGGGGGCCAGGGCCAGTGTCTTCCGTAAGAGGCTTACAGGTGTTTTCTTATCCGGCTAAGGGATGCTTCCACGGGATCCCCTAGGACTCAGTCTGGCACACAGCAGGTGCTTAATAAATAGTCGAATTATTGAATGAATATATGAGTCAGAAGAGCACCGTTCACACCCACACAGAAGGGTGCAGTGCAGTTTGTGGGGCACTGATCTGGAAGAGGCTGGGTTAGAGCACAGCCTACTGAGTATTCCCCAAAGCAATAATGGGTCAGAGCAACAGAGCTTAGGAAAGAATCAGTGTTGAAATTACGTAAGTGGCTATTGAAGAATTTGTCAGAGCCTTTCATGTGCCAGGGTACATTGTGAACCTTCTAGGAAACAGGAGATGCAAATATATTTGAGCACAAAAATGTATTTTTCTAAGAGCATCTTGAGATTAGTTTCTGGGGAATGACCTTGAAATGCAGGAAGAGACACCCTCATCGTTTCCTCAGCCTGATGTGGGGGCTAATCAGGCTGGGATGCGTGTCACAAGAGCAAGGCCAGTGGCTTGGGCCCCAGAGCCATCTCCAAATCCAAGGCAGGGGCAGGTGGGGCAGCCACCAGGCTGAGGCAGGGGAGGGGGCTGTGGACAATGCTCTGTGGAGCCTCTGCGCTCCAGGGTGCCTGTATGAGAGTCCGGAGACACTGGAAAGAGGGTGGGAAAGCTCAGGGCCTGGGAGGACAACTGAGGATGATACATGTCCACGGCGTCCCGCAGAATCAGCTGTTCTGGGGGCAGTCAGAGCAACTAGGTGCAGCCCAGAAACTTCTGAGAACTGTGCTAATGCCTGCCCTGCACACAGAATGGGGCCCCTTCCCACCAGGGACCCTTCTCTGCACAGCTCAGGCAGGCCTGTGATGGTGACTCAAATAATAACAGACTTTTGTGCCAGGGACGGTGGGCGGGCAAGGGAGCTGCTAGGTGACCCATCCAGAGGGTAGAGGGTAGCCCATCTTCAGGGAAGGACTTGCCCAAGCAAGGTTTGAAGAAGGAGGCAGGGGTTCTTAGTTGGGGAGGAATGCCCTAGATAGAGAAGACCTCGGGCCGAAGGTGTGGGGGTGGGAAGGCAGAGATTTGGAGCCCACGTTCAAAACATTAATAACCTAACATGGCCGATTACAGTGGCTCACACCTGTAATCCTAGCACTTTGGGAGGCCGAGGTGGGCAGATCACGAGGTCAGGAATTCAAGACCAGCCTGGGCAACATGGCGAAACCTCATCTCTAAAAAAAAATACAAAAATGAGCTGGGTGTGGTGGCACATACCTGTAGTCCCAGCTAGTTGGGAGGATGAGGTGGGAGGATCACTTGAGCCCAGGAGGTCAAGGCTGCAGTGAGCCGAGATTGCACCATTGCACTCCAGTCTGGCTAGCCTGGACAACAGAGCAAGACTCTGTCTCAAAAATAAATAAATACATAAATACATAAAAACATAACATACAAATATATGCCAACAATTTATTTAACTCATTAATGAGGGACATAACAGGATGACAAAGCAGCTTAAAGTAGACAGTGAGAGACTGAAGCCAGTAAAACAAGGAGGGCTGAAATAAGATTGCTGGCTGCAAACTGCTTCTACAGAGCAATAAACTTGTAACCTTCCTCTGGGGATTGTCTTTTCTACCAATGAGAAATCATCTGCCATTTCTCAGCCTCCTCCAAGTGAACATCCATCCAAAGAGCAAAGCCTGGGCCCTAGCCAGTAGCGTGAAGTCAAAAGACGTCACATGCCCCAGAATAAGATGACTCTTAAGGTGGGCTTATTTGATAATGTTCTAGGTTGACTTTGAAAGGATACACAGTCACTTTTTTTGCCTTATTTCCAAGTTTTGGGTATTTTTTCTTAGGTGTGTCTGGAGCTTAGAATGTGAGGGATGGAGAGAACAGAGGGTCACCGATTTCTCCTGCCAGCAACGAGAACCATGGGAGGGAGTCAGGCAGGGGTGGGGAGTGGTGGAGTGATGAATTTCATAGGTTGGGGAGGCAGACAGGATGCTGCTGTGGGTATGTCAATCAGTACTCCTAGAGGCTAGCCTTTTTCCTTTTCTGCCCTGGTACATGTCCATGTGCTTGAGAAAGCAGATGGGCCCTCTGGAGGAGGCCACCCTGGGAGAAGGGGCCTGGGGTTGTCGCTCTCTTGAGGGAGGTAGGGAGCAAGGGCGTGGGCTGCATCCCCTGAGCATCTGAGAGGCACCCCTCATCCCTGATCTGCAGTGCTGCCCCCAGCCAGAGCTAGGGATGGCTGACTGCCTTCAGAAAGTGCTATATCGCCTGCCTGCTGTCTCCAGCCCAGAGAGTGACAGGCAGGTGGCTCCCCGGGTGGCACATGGCTTATGGCTCCTTTCTCCTTGACTACTGCAGACCAGTCTTTTGAGGATTCTGACAAGTTCCACTCTCCAGCCCGGGGGCTTCAGGGCCTGGCATACTCGTAATTACGGTAGGTCTCTGGCTGGGTCTGGCCTCCCCGCTAGCAGCCCCACAGGGATGGGGAGCTGGGGTCCAGGTCTTCCTCCCCAGGGCCCACCTATACAGCTTTCTGAGGTACATAGCCCACCCCAGTAACCCAAGCTGACCAGGTAGAGAGAAGTGGCTTCCTGTCCCCTGGCAGCCAGCCTTCGTCCCCGACCTTCTTCTCTCCCTCTCTCGCCCCACCAGGTCTGCAGCTGTTGTTCCCATGGAGCCCGGACTGGAGGTCCCTCTGGGATTCACAGCCACACCCTGGATGGTGGCACAGACAGATGCAGGGCCGGGGCCATGGGCAGACCTCAGTCCATGAGTGGAACGGGGAGGGGCCTTCACCCCATGCTCAAGCCTCCCGCTAGGAGCCCCACAGGCTTCTCTCGCCTCCCTGTCTTGGGGTGGTCAGAAGCTCCAGCACTGTGCAGATGCTCTTGGCAGGAGAGCATCCCAGGGAGGTGCTGGGATTCTGGGCCTCGCTGTCTGGGTCTTGGTTCCTCTGAAAGAGATGGATCTTGTGCAGACCAGGGATGTCGGGTGAGGGGAGCATGGGATGGGGACTGTGGGAAAAAGGACAGCTCAGGGAGAAGTGACCTGGAAAGGTCCTGTTTGCATCTGACCCATCTCAACTGGCCCAACATCCCAACTTCTGTGCAGCGAAAGGGCGGCGCCCCGCAGCCTGGGGAGGCCTGCCCAGGCTCCCATGGAGCTTCCAACAGCTGCTTCGCCCCGCAGCTACCCCCACTTGCTTTGAGACCTGCACTCTCATGCTTGCCGCATCATGCCTCCCTGTGGGGGCTTTGGGCATGGAGGAGGCAGAAGACGGGGTACCAGGCCTCCTGTATTTGGATGTCTCATGGACTCTGGCCCACACACTCACAATGACTCTGGCTGGCCCCATGCAGTGGGCCCAGCTGCCCCCCAGGTGGCCTCACATTCTGCTCTGCTAAGTTTGGAGAAAACAGAACAATAAACCAGATGCAGGTGGCGCCCGCCCGGCCTCTCACCTGCCTCCTTGGTGTGAGTTTGCTTTTCTCAGCAGCCATTCAGCAGCTCTAGGGGCAGCTCCAAACCCTGCCCCGGGGGAGCCCTCTTGCGCCTTGGGCTTTTTAAACAGCCCCTGATTTTGACTAAGCAAGTATTCCCTGCCCCACGTCTGTTCTTGGGGACCGTTGGGGGAGGGGGAGCAGGCTAGGAGGCCTGAGCTCTGCCTGGGAGCATAATAGGGCCACTGAGGACTCAGTCGCCTAGCTCTCTGGTCAGGACCAAAGTGGTAGTTCTCCAGACATTGCTGAGAACCAGGACAGACCAAACCAAATTTGACCCAGATGTACAGAGGCTCAGAAATTAGATCCAATCCAACACAGAGGCTGCAGGGCCATGCCTGGGCTGGGTGGGGCAGCTTGTGGTTTCCAGGGCTGTTTATCTGAGCCACACCCCAACCCCATCCCACCCCACCGCCCCCAGGCCTAGGCACCTTATGGCTCACCTGCCTCAGAGTTTGGGTGGAAGGAGGGTAAGGAGGCAAGATTCCTATGCCCATTCACTCCACCACCCACCCCTCTAGGATGAGTCCCAGTTGTCCCCTGAGATATGTCCCCTGGATGATTGGCTGGTTTTCTGACCCTGAAAGCCACTTTTTTGACCCATGATCCAGTGATCCCCGTGTCTAGCCCCAGGCCTCAGGCTTTCCTCTTTCTCTTCCTGGCCATGCTCCTGGGCTCTGGCCTCTGGACACCCTGGCCCTCTCAACCCATGCATCCATGACCTGCAAATGCAGCCTTCTGGACAGGCACACTTGCCAGGGCAGATGGGCTGCTCTTGTGTTTCAGAGGCCTCCACTTCTTTCTCTGGTGTTCTTGGCCAGCACCTGGGATTCATCTCTCCTGGACACAGGGCAAGAGGTCATGCTGCTTTCTGGTCATCCTGCCCCATTCTCAGTGCTTGCGTGGCCTCCAGCTCAGAGCACCAAAACTCACGCCCTGCTTTATTTGGCTCTGAGCAGCTCCTGTTGCCCAGGGCCCTCCCAGCTGAGGCCCTGCAAAGTTCTAATCTGCACTGGACACAGGTGGTAACTGGATAGTGGTCACACTCTGGTTCCCAGGATGGGTCAGG